TGAGTTGGAGTCTCACTCTGTCACCCAGACTGGAGTGCAGTAGCCACTCCCGGCCACCACAGCCTCGACCTGCTGGGCGCCAGCGATCCTTCCGCCCCAGCCTTCTGAGTAGCTGGAACTATAGGCGCGCGCTACCACGCCCAGCTATTTTTTGATTTTATTGTAGAGATGAGGTCTCACCAAGTTGCCCAGGCGGGTCTCGAAGCCATGGGCTCAGGCAATCCACTCACCTCAGCCTCCCAAAGTGCTGGGATTACAGGCTGAGCCACCGAGCCCGGCTGACTTCTCCATTTTAAATACTCTAGAGTCTTCATAAGAAAGGAAGGAAGGAAGGAAGAAAAAGAGTCAGAAGTTTCCGAGAGGCTGACGGGGAGTGGCTCCCCTTCCCTGTGGGCCCCAGTCCTGAGCTCAGACAGCTACCCGCCCCTGCTTACAAGGCTACGCCCTAACCCTTGGGAAGCCCATTCTGAAACCTGCGTGCAACCCAGGTGACGGGGCCCTCACACCGAGAACACCGGACGCAGAAGGAGGGCCTAGCCGCGCGGTGTTCATGCAGCCTCAAGATGGTCTCCCGAGAGCAGCCTGGCCGTGAGGCGCGCTGGCTGCTGCTCTACGGCCCGGGCGAGACATCCTCGCTTTGGCAAGGGAAGCCGGAGCGGCCTCCGAGGAGCAACGCGCTCACGAGAGACCACCGGCTGAGCCTTGCTCCTGAGGAATGATGAGGGCCACCCTCAGTCCTGACCCGGCTGGGGGCTGGACGGCGCGGGAGTGGCGTGTCGGTTCTGGCGAACACGGCCGGGGAGCGGGGCCGGGGTCAGGAAGCAAGGAGAGAATGCGGCGAGCTGACAGCCACAGCAGCCACACCAGCTGGCAGGGACACGGCGGCCGGTCTTCCCGGGTCCCAGGGCACCCACTGGACCCGCCCAAGCCTTCCCCAGCTCTGGCCTGTGTGTTCTGCCTGCTTGTACTGTCTAGAAAAGTCCAGGGATGGTTTCCTGGGAACCCTGATGACAACTGTCAGGCTCCAGACGAAAACAGGCTTTAACCCTAATGGCCATTTGCCTCTTGGGAAGGAACAGAGTGGAACAGGAAAGATAAAAAACAAGAGCTTAGTTGCCAAAGTGAGAAGCCTGCCGTGCAACACGGTCTTGGACACACCCATGAGGAAGGCTATTAAAAAAGAATCCAGAAAACAGCAAGTGTTGCAGGGTACGCAGCGTGTGGACACTGCCTCACTGCTGACAGCAACAGGAGCCAGGCAGCCACTGGGGCGTCGCTGTGCACGCGGGATCCCCCTTCTGGCGTTCACCCAGAGAGTGAAAGGCTGGACCAGAACGGATGCGTGTGCCCTATACGCCTGGTAGTGGTTTTCTAAAAAAATTAAAACAATTAAACATTTCTTTGAGTCGAGATCTGCCTCCGTCCCCCAGGCTGGAGTGCAGTGTCCCGATCAGGGCTCACTGCAGTCTCGACCTCCGGGACCCAGGCGATCCCCGGGGAGCTGGGGCCACAGGTGCCCCCGGGCTGGCCCGTGTTTTTGGATGGCAGTGTTATTCACAACAGCCACACGCGGAAGCAACCCACATGCCCACTGATGGGCATGGGCACGCGTGGGGCATCCCTCAGCCTCCTCAAGGGGGGACATTCCGCATGCGGATGAGCCCCAGAGAGGCCACGCTGAGCGGGACGGGCCAGTCGCCGGAAGACAACTGGCAGGCAACCTGCTCACGTGAGGCCCCGAGGTCGTCACAGTCCCAGAGACAGAGAGTGGGGGGTGCAGAATCAACGCCTACTGGGATCAGAGTTTCAGTTTGGGAAGATGGGAAAGTTCTGGAAACGGATACTGGTGATGTTTACATGACACTGTGAATGACATTGTGCAGTTAAAAATAGTTAAAATTTTACTGAGCACCCTCTTGGGGGAACACACCCCGGCCCCTGACCCGACTGGTCTAACACAAGATGCCCTCAGCTCCGATTCCTCCAGACAAGCTGTCCAGAGGGCGCGAGGCTCAGGCCCCAGCGCGCACAGCAGAAGCGTGGGATTTAGACTTCTCGGGACCCCCACGTCAACAACGGTTAGAAAGCACAGCCATGACCTCTGGGCAGCAGCGGCCACAGATCCGAATGAGGGAGAGCCCTCACGAGCCCAAACAATCAGAGCGGAGGAGGGCTCGCCCCCAGCCGTGCGACCCCACTCCTGAGATGGGTTGACATGAAACCCCTAGGAAAGCGCCCGCCGCCGATGGAATGCCACGTGTCCTCCTCCTGCTCTCCCTGGAACCAGAGAGAGGACACCGCAGAAGCTACACCGATGGTCCCGATCGTGGCTTCTTCTGGACACCCGAGTGGCGGCAGAGACGCACAGGAGACGGTGTCCGGCCGGGGCCGTGCCTGCCGTGGGCCCTGCTAGGAGGGCTCTTCCGCCCGCACATGAGACGCACGGCTGAGAAGCACGGCAGAGTGCTCTCCACACGCCCTGGCACGTAGCTCTCACTCGGCTCCCCGTGGCTCCGTGCCCTGCGGCTCTCCACTGTTGGACTCCACAGGCCAGCTGTCCTGGAGGAAGGGGCTCAGCAGACACACACTTCCACGCGCCATCAGTAAAAACAAACGGAAAGAAGAGGAGGCAGCCCCTCCCATGGGATCCAGGGAGTGGCGTTCACGGAAGGAAAGCTGCTCAGCTCCTGGGATCCCCTGGCCTGCAGTGTGGGTCTGACAAGAGGGGGGTGCCGGGGACGGGAAGGGCACCTGCCGCGGACAGCACGCTCCATGCAGGCACACACCGAGTGGGCAGAGAGCGGAGCGGCTGTGGAACGTGTCTCCAGCTGTGCATCTGGAAGCCCCCTCAGGTTCCTATGTGAGTTTTACTCATCTGAAAAGACTGTGTTCATTTGCAAGAGTCGTTTTTCACATACACTTTCCAATATACCTGTGTACCCCTGTTTAAAAGATCAGATATCTCCCCCTCCCAACCTGCAAGAGAGGTCATGGCACTAAACACGGTCTGAAATAAGAGGCAACAAAGTGTAGGTCAACAGAGATTGATTTTTAGAAAGAGATAAGCCAGAAATAACTCGACAGTACGTAGGAGCAAAGCAAAGCAAATAAAACCCTCAAATAAGCCAAAAACTCAAAATGAAAACTGGTGTTCAGCACTTTCCCAATGCTCCCACACAGTAAAACACAAGTTTTTAGCAAAGCCACAAACCCTCAAAGAACTGAAATGTAAGTCAATGCACAGTAGGGTTGTCTTCATGGAAGTTGACCTCCAGTCTCCAGACCCAGCTAGAACCAGTGCTACCAGGCCAGTCCCAAGAGTGCTACCGAGTGGATCGCAGGCCTGGCTGGAACAAGTGCCAGGTGGGAAACCTGTTCCAAGCACCCAGACCACTGATGTTGACTGCAGACGTCCCTGACCCACCCGTCTCTAAGATGCCATCATGTGAGGACGGCGGCCATTCACAAAGCAGTGCACATTTGAGAAGCAAGTGTCTAAACCCGAAGCTGGGGACACCATGGGCAGGGACGCAGGACATGTGGCTCTGTAAGCTAGCCTGTCCACCCACCGGCAGCGGCGGAGGGAGTGAGGCCCGGGGGCCAGGGCCCTGGGCTGCCGCGCTGATGTTGTGCTCACCTCCCCCGCTTAGCCTCACAGACTCGGCCTCGTACACGCTTGGCGTTCATACTCACCTAAGCCTTTCTGCCCAGGGTTCTTAGCAAAGGAAAAGGTAAACTGATAAAAGTCCTTGAACTTGGCCGTGTCCTTAAGCTCCTGTTCCAGCCGTGGCAGAAGAGCCTTCAGCTTTTCCGTGCTGTCACACCTGCGGTGACAGAGTCAGGGGTGTTACCCGCGGCAGACACACCTCTGTCCACCCCTTCTCCCACTCTGCAGGAACCGTGGCCCGGCCTGTGGCTCCAGCCGGAACTCCCCCCTCCCCTTGCAGTCGGCGAGCCCTCCGAGCTAAGGGGCGGCATGTGAGAGCAGTGACGGGGGCTCCTTTCCTGGGCAGAGGAATTCTCGACGCTCCAAGACAGATGGTGGTGACGGCTGCACACTCTGAATCTACTAAAATCACCATGTTGTAGACCCTAAATGGGCAAAAATATGGTATATGCATTCCACCTCAATAAAACTGTTATTACAAGAAAAAACCAAAAGGCAGACTGCTTGCCCTCTTCTAGTGAGTTGGAAGAAGGGCGTGGTCCATGCTCGAGCCGACACAGAGCCAAGATGGGAAGACTCCACTTCTGAGGGCCTCGAGAGCTGTGGACCCGCAGCCTGGCCTGCTGCCTGTGTGCTCCCAGGCGAGGAAGAAACATGCCTGTCCTATTTAAGCAACTCTTCAGTACAGCAGGTTGGATGATAAGTCTCCAAGTGTTATAAAACACCACTCTATGATGGTTCAAAACTGGATTTTCCTCTAAAAAGTCCATAGCTGAGATTATAAACAGTAAACAGCTTGTAGGAAGAAATCTGGAATTGTGAAAAAAAATCTTTTTGACTGTCTAGCAGAGAACCGCATAAAAGCAACATTTGCTTATCCACTTATCTGAGAGGGCACCACTAGGGACCAAACGCTGGGGGCCCGTGGAGCATCCAGAAGGGTCCACAAATACAAGAGAAAAGCACCGACGTGGGGCTCAGCCAGGCACAGCTGTGAGTGGCAAGCCGGTCAACACCAGGTCCAATGTGCAGCGGTGGCCCCTGAGAGTTCAAGGGGGCTGGGCAATCCCTGTCCAGTGTGGTGGCTCATGCCTGTAATCCCAGAACTTCGGGAGGCAGAGGCGAGAGGATTGCCTGAGCCCACGAGTTTGAGGTTAGCCTGGGCAATGTGGCAAGACCTCAGTTCTACACACACACACAGTTAGCTGGGTGTAGTGGTGCGTGAATGTAGTTCCAGCTACTCGGAAGGCTGAGGTGGAAGAATCGCCCGAGCCCAGTAGGTTGAGGCTGTGGTAGCCATGAGTGTGCCACTGCACTCCAGCCTGGGCTACAGACAGAGTGAGACTCACTCAACAAAACAAAATAAAGCAAACAAGAAGTTTGGTAGGATATGCTAGTAAAGCCCTGAAGCCATTCCAGCCAAGAGTTTTCTCTTTGAGAAGATTTTAAATTACAGGTTCAAATTCTTCAGTTATAGAACAATTAAGATTTTCTATTTCTTCATGTGTCAGTTTTAGTGACATTTTAAAAAGAATTCCTCTATTTTCACACAGGTTTTCACATCTGCTTGTGTAAGTTGCTCACAACAGACTTACTCTGAAGACTTGCAGAACCTGCCATCATGTCCCCGTTTTCATCCACATTGGTTACTTACCACTTTTACAAATATTTTCAGAACCAAGCTTCTGACTTTGATCCCATTGACAGTGTCTATTTAGTTAGTCTTCCTACTGAACTGGTGCCGGTTTGAAGATTCCCTCCTTCCTTCCTGCACTCTTTGAGCTTCATGTCCTGCTCTCCTCCACTTCTTGAGATGGAAGTTTTTCTTCTGACTTGCAGCCCTTTCCTTTTCTAGATGCATTTAAGCTGAGTCCTACAAGTTTTCAAACGCAGTGTCTTCCACGTCACTCGGTACATTTTCTAATTTCTCACGGTAACCTATTTCCCAACCAAAGGGTTCTTCAGAGATTTACAATATCCACATATATTTTAAACTATGCCTGAGCCCGCGGGTTCGAGACTCGCCTGGGCAACTTAGCGAGACCTCATCTCTACAATAAATCAAAAAATTAGCCGGGCGTGGTAGCGCACGCCTGTAGTTCCGGCTACTCGGAAGGCTGAGGCGGAAGGATCACCGGAGCCCAGTGGGTCGAGGCTGGGCGACAGAGTGAGACTCCAACACAAAACAAAACAAAAAAACCCTATCTAGTTATCTTTTTGTTGCCTTCCTAGTTCAACTGTCCTGCGTCAAAAAACATACTCTGTATCATTTGAGTTCTTTGAACTGTGTTGCAACTTACTAAAGTAAGTAGCCCAGTTTATGGTGAAATTTTATTATTGTTCTATTTGTCTTTTTGAAAAGAATATGCATTCTTTACCACCGGAGTATGTGACACTCCACATAATCCCACCAGGCCATTTACTGTGCTGTCCAAATCTTCCATTTCTTACTAATGTTTTATCTGCTCATTCTATCGGTTACTAAGGTGCATGAGAGAATTCCTTACTTTGTTTCTGGATTTGTATCTAATTGTTTATTTTTGCTTTAAATACTTTGGGGACTATTCAACAAGTGCACAAAAACATAAAAGCAAATTACCTTACTGGTGAAAATCACCTTTTATCATGATGACATAGCCTTCACTCACTGTGGAGTTGCTTTATGCCCTAAAGCTATTTTGATCATGTCTCAGTGTTATCTATTTTAAACAATATACACAGTAGCTGATTTTTTAAAAATCCATCTAGTACTGAGTTCACTAACAATTAATTTAATCATTTAATTACTGCTATATTTTGTTTTGAATCTTACATTTTATCATACGCTTGCTATTTGTCCTGCCCAAGCTAACGTTTTCTTGCACTTTTCCCCTTGCATTCTTTTGGATTGAATTTTTAAAATTATTCTATTACCCCCTCAAATATTATCTAGAAACTATATATTCTTCTATTTTAACAGTAATCATAGGATATATTTACGTGGAAAATATTTCCTCTCACTGCTTGCCTTTTTTATTTTTTGAGTTGGAGTCTCACTCTATCACCCAGGCTGGAGTGCAGTGGCACGGTCATGGCCACCACAGCCTCGAGCTGCTGGGCTCAGGTGATCCTTCTGCCTCACTCAACCTTCCAAGTAGCTGGAACTACAGGCACACACCACCATGCCTGGCTAATTTTTTTAATATATTGTAGAGACAAAGTCTTGCCATGTTGCCCAGGCTGGTCTTGAATCCCTGGACTCAAGGCAATCCTCTCGCCTTGGTCTCCCAAAGTGCTAGGATTATAGGCTTGAGCCATTGTGTCCGGCTTCACCTTTTTGATTTTAATAGCATCTTTTGAGTTTGATGGAGCTTTTGACTTTGATGGAGTCCAACCCAACAGCTTTTCCTTTATGATTTGTCTCATTGTATCTTTCAGAAAGTCTTTCTAAAACTAATGTAACAGATTCTCCTACGTTTTGCCTAAAAACTTTTTTGAGTTGGAGTCTCACTCTGTCGCCCAGACTGGAGTGCAGTGGCCGCTCCTGGCGACCGCAGCCTCAACCTGCTGGGCTCCGGCAATCCTTCCTCCTCAGCCTTCCCAGTAGCCGGAATTACAGGCATGCGCTACCACGCCCGGCTGATTTGATTTATTGTAGAGATGAGGTCTCGCTGCCCAGGTGGGTCTTGAACCCGCGGGCTCAGGCAATCCACTCACCTCAGCCTCCCAAAGGCGCGGGATTACAGGCTGAGCCACCGAGCCCGGCTTAAAAACTTCTTAGTTTTAAACTTGTCTAGCTCTCCAATCTATTTTAAGTTGATTTTCATGTACACGAAGTGGAGGCTGAGATTAATGTTTTCACGTGTATCTGGCTGTTCAGCTATATTTGTTGAATGTCTCCCCTTTCCTCCACTGAAACGCCGTGGCAGCTTTGTACGGACAAAACGGCTGCATACGTGTGCGTCTGTTTCTGGATTCTCTGTTGTATCCCATTGCCTGATCTGTACAGCCTTGGAGAAAGTCTTGAAATTAGGTAGCATAAGTTCTCCTACTTTATCTGTTTCTAGATTACCAGGTTTTTTTGTTTCTGCTTTGCTATGCAACTTTTAAATGTCTCATTTTCTGGCAATTTTTAGTCATGTGTCTGCTGAACAGGGGAGCAAAGTTGTTTTAAAGTCTACTTAAACCTTCTATTCCCTGGAACCCTTGAGCTCTGTTTCTGTTGTTTTTTTCTGTTGGCACCTCTCACGTACTCCTGTGTCATCACATGCCTGTTACTCTGGTTTTATGCTGAATGTTGTATTAGGAGAAAAAAAACTGCTTATAGATATTGTCGGGCAAGATCTGTTTCGAAACAGCATCTTCAGAGGCCTCTGCAGGCACCGTGAGGACTAACCATGTAGAACCGCGGATCCTTCTTCAGGGATGGACAGTTTCTAGGCTGCCGGATGACCGGAGCCGGGGGCACTCCCCTGAGGACGTCTGGCTTCCGACTCCTGGAGTTCAGGCCTTCAAATCCAGACCAAGGGTTCAAAGACCGGGTGGGCCCTGGTTTCCGGTGTCTGTCCCTCTGCCTACAGTGAGCTGTCCAAAAGTACTGGCAAGTGCTGTCTGGGGAAAAGCAGCTCGGTGCCAGGTTCACACCTTGGGATCTGTTCTGCAATTCACCACCTGGTCAGCTCTTTAATGCCTTCAAGCCGGCTTTTAAGAAATGTGCCCAGTTTTTCTAGCTGCCTTCTACATACAATTGATCCAGAGCACCTGGTTCACCGTTTCCAAACGCCATGCTCAGAAATTACCATTTACTTAAAGTCTTTAAGCCCCCAATGAAATGATACAGCATTAGCTGTTAAAAGCACAAATTCTAGCCTCACCCAAGAGGGAATGGTATGAGAAAAAAATAAAGACACAGAGACACAAGAGCTCAAGTATTTTGTAAAGCTAGTCCTAAAAGCACTGAGGTTATCACTCTGGTACAGTTTAGGAAAGCACTAAAAACATATTAGTTTATAGCTGGGCATGGTGGCTCACACCTATAATCCCAGCACTTTGGGAGGTCAAGGTGAGAGGATTGCCTGAGCCCACAGGTTCAAGACCAGCCTGGGCAACTTGGTGTGACCTCACCTCTACAACAGATCAAAAAATAAGCCGGGTGTGGTAGTGTGCGCCTGTAGTTCTGACTACTTGGAAGGCTGAGGTGGAAGGATTGCCTGAGACCAGCAGGTCGAGGCTGCGGTGGCTGTGAGCATGCCACTGCCCTCCAGGTCGGGCGACAGAGTGAGACGTCAACTCAGAAAAACCAAAAAAACAAACCTATTAGTTGAGAAGAGAGCTTTAATATTTCCGAAGCGCTTTCACCTTTAACTGCCTGTGAGATGTGAACAGCAGTGCTATTATCTACCCTAAACTTGCAGCCATGATCACACCCCAAATTTTAAGAGTGTGTACAGTTATGATACATAATAGGACAACAGAGAGAAAAAACGTAGATGCCCTTAAACAACGTATTTGTCGACAATGCCCAAATGCCAGTGTTTCCGTAAGAAGCGCTCATCTCCAAACTTTCTCCTTTTAAGGACAGCTCAATAGATGGGATAAGATTAAGCGCACTACTAATGAAGTGTTTCTTTAATAGATGTTTTCTCTTCTAAAGCTATTGGTAATTCATCCAGGCTTTTTTAAGTCCAAGGAACATGAACAAATATGCTGTTATATCATTGTCTAATGCTTTCTTTTGCATGTTTTGTTTCCTACAACCACTGGGAATATAAGTTATAATAGAGGGTCCCCAATTCATATGGTTTAACTTAAGATTTTTTTGATTTTTAATGGGCTTATGGGATATTAAATACATTTTAAACTCAAGATATTTTCAACTTATGATGGGTTTATCAAGGTGCAACCCCACTGTAAGTCAAGAAGCAGCTATACTAGAAGTAAAGTCTTGTAGAGTTTATCATCTAAAAAGACATGGCTATAAAGATAACATTTATCAGTTCAGTGGAAAAAAGAAATAGCTGGTTTTTCCTTTCCCTTGGTTGCTGTAAGTACGTGCTTTAAAAGCAAGCTTATTGCAAGGCTTTAAGCTCTCTTCAGCAGCTAAAAATATGCTCCTCTAAGTTGTCAACACTGAAACAGAAGAATATCAGAAATATCAGCAAGTCATATAAGTTAGCTTTCACAGCACCTCATGAAATACATATGTCACTTCGTGATGGGAATATGCTCTGACAAAAGCAATGAGCCGATTTTGTCATGTGTGAACATCACAGAGTGAGCTGGCACATACTCGGATGGTCTAGCCACAGCACACCCGGGTGATGGCACAGCTGCGGGCTCCTCAGTCACCCACCTGCACAGCCCGTGGCTGGACTGATTGCTGCAGTCAACTGTGCCACAGGGGTAAGCACTCGTGTATCTAAACACATCAAAACACAGAAAAGGTGTGGAAAAGACAGGATATAAAAGACGAGACCTAGTCCACCTGTCCAGGGCGCTTGCCGTGAGTGGCACTTGCAGGCCTGGAAGTTGCTGGGTGAGTCAGGGAATGAGGGCAAATGTGAAAGCCCAGGACACTACTGTACACTGTGCAGACTTCATACACACTGTATACTTAGGGTACACTAAAGTTATTAAAATGTTTTCTTCAATAATATATGAACTCCAGCTTACTACAACTTTTTTTACTTTATAAACTTTAAATCTGTTTAGCTGTTTTTAAAACAATAAAAGTTTTACAAACCCTTGTGTTGAGAGTTAACTTTCAATAGATCGCAGCTAAATCTAACTTTTTGATACATTTGTAATTACACTTAGCTTAAAATACAAACACATTATACAGCTATACAAAATATCTTCTTTATATTCTTATCTTATACACGTAAAATTTTTTTTTTTTTTTACTTTTTAAGCTTTTTTGTTCAAAACTAACACATGGCTGGGTGTGGTGGCTCACACCTATAATTCCAGCATTTTGGGAGGCTGAAGTGAGAGGATTGACTGAGCCCATGGGTTCGAGACCAGCCCAGGCAACTTGGTGAGACCTCACCTCTACAATAAATCAAAAAATTAGCCGGGCATAGTAGTGCATGCCTGTAGTTCCAGCTACTCAGAAAGCTAACATTGAAGGATCACCAAAGCCCAGCAGGTTGAGGATGTGGTAGCCATGAGTATGCCACTGCACTCCAGCCTGGGTGACAGGGTGAGAACTCCAACTCAAAAAATAAAACCAAGACAACTAACACCCAAACACACACATTAGCCTAGGCCTACCCAAGGTCAGTGACATCAATATCCCCGTCTTCCACTTCCACATCTTGTCCCACTGGAAGGTCTTCTGGGCAATAACACACACAGCGCTGTCACCGCCTGTGACGACAATGCTTTCTTCTGGAATTCCTCCTGAGGGCCCTGCCTGAGGCTGCTTACAGTTAGCTTGTTTTTAATAAGTAGAACTACACTCTAAAATAGCAATAAGAAGTACAGTATAGCAAGTACATAAATGGCAACATAGTCGTTTATTATCATTTTTAAGCACCGGGTACCGTACACAATCACATGTGCTAGACTTCTACACAACTGGCAGCAGTAGGTTGTCTAACCAGCAACATCACAGACACCGAGCAATGGTTTGTGCTATGACGCCATGGCTGCTGCGACGTCACTAGGGAGCAGGGATATTTCAGCTCCGTGATAACCTCGAGGGACCACTGCCGTACATGTGGTCTGCTGTTGACAGAAACATTGTTACACAGTGCCTGACTGCAGTTCAAGACACTTCATGATTACAAGACAGTTATGGTAGGTGCTTCCATTTGCTTTTATGACTTATCTGATAAGTGAGAAACAGCTTAAGTTATCAATGAAGCTTTTATCCCAGCCCTGTGGGGAGAATAGAAAAATGTCACAAGCAAAAAACAAAACAACATTTTATTAATGTTTAATATAGCAATGCAATAAAGTCTGTATTTAGTATACAGTGTTATGAAATAACCCGAACGGCTAAAAAACACCTGGTATGTACAATTCAAAATTAGAAGGAAAAAATTAAAAAGAAGAAAATGAGTTACAAAAGGGATTAATACTAAAAATACTAAAATGTGAAATGAAATAAAACTTTAAGCTGGAGTTTGAAAGGGAACCAAAGGCTTAATAGTATATACACACAATAAAAGTTTAGGACAAAGAAAATAAATATATATAAAATTAATATTGACAGGCTGCTGGAAGAGAATTAACGTTGAAAGTATCTTGCTGTCTGAAAACATTTAAAGCAGGAACAAGGCACTCACCCAAGCTCTGTCATGCCATCCACAAATTCCTTTCTGCTAAATTCACATTGAGTTGCCGCCCTGAACTTCCAGGCTATGACCAGAACACTCATACTGGCAGGATCTAGGCTTAAGTCATCACAAAACCGTTGAATGCCATCAATTCCAATTTTGTTTTCATCTTGTGGGTCTGTAGTCAAGATCAGGGGAAAAAAGTTATGCTGTTTTGAAAAGTCACCCTAAAACAGGTGGCTAGAATCATACCATTTTACTACATAGTTTTAGCAAGAAGAGTGTTTCAAATATACCAAGCAACAGACTGTAAATTTCTGCTATATATGAAAGAAATGGTGAGCAGAAAATGACTTATTCAGAGAAGAGTGCTATTTTTTAAAATCTGGGTTTCTGGGTTTTAGGGAAAACAATCAGTGAAATTTATCTGAGAAGACTTGATCACTAAGGAACAATTTAATTTCCCTCAATTAAAAATTCAAGTTTGCAGAAATTCAGTTTGTCCAGAGGCAAAATGCTACAAAAGATACTGCATTGACAAAGTACTTGTCATACCTCCAGTTCTTTTTTTTTTGAGTTGGAGTCTCACTTGGTCGCCCAGACTGGAGTGCAGTGGCCGCTCCCGCCCACAGCAGCCTCGCCTGCTGGGCTCCGGCGATCCTTCCGCCTCAGCCTTCCGAGTAGCTGGAATTACAGGCCCGCGCTACCACATCCGGCTGATTTTTTGATTTACTGTAGAGATGAGGTCTCGCTGCCCAGGCGGGTCTCGAACCCGCGGGCTCAGGCAATCCACTCACCTCAGCCTCCCAAAGGCGTGGGATTACAGGCTGAGCCACCGAGCCTGGCTATACCTCCAGTTCTTATGACAACTCTGCCAAAGTAAAAGAATGACTAATGCTTTTCTTCTTCAGTGATTTCATTTGCCAGTTGTAATGCCACTGGACAATAACTCCTTTTAAAATCATCTAGCTTATGCATCTGCATTGAACAGCTTAGACAGTGAGGATCCTCATCCTCATTTCTAGTTTAGAAATAAAGTTAAAGAACTTAGCATTAAGTAATTTTGCAAGTACTCATTTGTTTGTATACATTAATGTAATAACTAGTGTTATCAGTATGTATCCATCAGAAAATCAAATGGTAAAATATATAAAAAGTATCCCACTGAGATTTTACCAAACTAAGAACAGTAATTTCAGACCAATTATGCATATCATAATCTCTCATCATAATGCACATGTGAATTCTGTTGGTTCAGAGGTGACAATGAAAACCTGGACCTCTTTTGTTCAAATAAAGATTTAGATGGGATCGACTTTTCTACCCCTTAATATAAAATTCAACTTTGGTCATTTAAATTCCACAAACACACATACACACATACGTATATTATTTACTAAATAAAAATTGATGATCTAAGTTAAATGCATGCATCCACAGACATCTCCTACTCTATTCTCATATTAGGCATAAAACAACCTTGGCCGTAGTTTATGGGCCAAAGGTGCTGTCAAAAATATTTCCACTCATTTTTCTTATTCAATTCCATCTCTTAATGTTATTCATCATGAATAGAAATATTGACCTAGTGCTCTTACCCCACTGCCATCTTGGTACACTTCACATGTAACACTGTTGAATATTTTAAGTAATCCTGGACGTATCCATTTATCTGTATACATTAATGCACGAACCAACATTTCATTTGTCAACAGGCTTTGAACTATATGTTTATTTTTAGAGCCCAAAATGATTGTACCATGTTTCTATTTTAAATGACTAAATTATATTAATAAAATTAAATAATGGCAAGGGAATGAAGCTTCAACTAAAGCATAAATACTTATAACTTTCACTTATGTAAAAGTAGTTTTTCAAAGGCAGTCACACACATTTTAATAACTTAGAAATCTGCACAGCATGACGTACAAAATTAGCTCAAAAGCTGACTTAGCCAAAAAATGTTAAAGTAGACTAAAGATGAACTAAAAACAACTTTCATTTTTAAAGAACTACAGTAAGAAACCACGGAATATGTTTCTGAACACTTTTTTTTATTTTTATTTTTTGCATCGGAGTCTCACTCCATTGTCCCAGCTAGAGTGCAGTGGCATGTTCACGGCCAGCCCAGCGTCGACCTGTTGGGCTCTGGTGATTCTTCCATCTCAGCCTTCCAAGCAGCTGGAACTACAGACATGCGCTACCACACCCGGCTAATTTTTTATTTATTGTAGAGATGAGGTCTCGCCATATTGCCTGGGCTGGTCTTGAACCTGCGGGCTAAGGCTATCCACTCACCTCAGTCACCCAAAGTGCTGGGATTATAGGCTGAGCCACCAAGCCTGGCCACATTTTTTTTAAAGCACGTAATTGTCTTGTCTTTTTTTTTTTTTTTTTTTGAGTTCGAGTCTCACACCTTCGCCCAGGCTTGAGTGCAGTGGCACACATGCTCATGGCCACCCCAGCGTGGACCTTCTGGGCTCCAGTGATCCTTCTGCCTCAGTCTTCCAAGTAGCTGGAACTACAAACACGAGCTACTACGCCCAGCTATTTAAAAAAAAATTTTATTGTAGAGACAAGGTCTTGCCAAGTTGCCCGGGCAGGTCTCTAATCTGCAGGCTCAGGCAATCCACTCACCTCGGCCTCCCAAAGTGCTGGGATGACAGGCTGAGCCACCGAGCCTGGCCAAAGCACATAATTTTCAAACAACTGTTCAGATCTAAACAGAGAGATTACAGTGGACACATGGTGTCTTCAAAAGTAAAAAGTGAAAATAATAAACAAGAATTTAATGCTAAAGACTATTCTACCTGGGCTAATACTTGTTTCAATGAGGGTCGGGATTTGTTTTGGTTCCAAATTCCGGAAAATTCCACCTTAAGAACTGCTATAAGGAAAAGCAAAATCGGGCGGCTCTTGGGTTGCTGCTGCCCTCACTGCCCAGCACAGACCCGACATCAGACCCGAGATGGAAAGCCTGAGGGTTCAGGTCAGCAGCAAGCCCACGTCTGACCTGAGAATGGTCCCCTGGGAGGTATCCAGGTCTGCACACCCTCGTGGGCACAGGTATCAACACTTCAACTGGGAAGCTCCCGGCCGAGCACTGATGTCAACAGCAACAGCAATGGTCCCCAACCTGCACACAAAGGTCTCTCTGCTAAGAGCTTCTCCCAAAGCCTATCCCCAACTGAAGCTGTCTCAGGGTCAGCCTCTACACACGGGCGAGGAGGACGTGGAAGGTGACCCTCGCTTCAGAGTTACCTCCTTGACCTGGTGTTGCTCGTAAACTGCCCTCTCTCCACCAGCACTTCAGCCTGAATGGATGCACTTGGGAAAATGCCATCTTAACAGACATAAGTGCCCAGACACCGAGCCGCCAGGCTGACCTTTCCCTCGATGGTGTCGACTCGGAGCAGTCACGGCATACGGCACGGCAGGGCAGGTGAGGGCTCGCTCCTGCCACTGGGACTTCCTCTTCCCATAGCTAGGCAGAGTAAAGCGGACTCCCGCTGAGCGTCGCAAGAGAGGGAGCAGCTGGGAGTCCTCCCGCACCCGCGCCGCATGCCAGTGCCAGCACCAGCACCGCTGCACTCCGCCGCTCGCCAGCTCGGGCACGCCGCTGGCTCTGCGCCCCTTACCTCTGTACCTGCTGTAGAGGTGCTCCAGCCTCTTCCTGTCCATGGTGCCCGGCGTGGGCTCCCTGGGGGCTGGGGCTGGCTTCTGGAAGAAGTCGTCCGTGGCCTCGTCCAGCCTCCACTCGCTCTGCGTCAGGCAGCGGATGGCAGTCCTTTCGCCGGCCTGGGTACACGCCATGAACTGGCGAACCTTGTCTCTCTGAGATGCCTTCAGCTTGTGCTTGGGGAAGCAGAAGGGCAGGGAGGCCAGTGAGGCCACTGCGGGGCTGGCGCGCGCCTCTCCCTAGCCTGCTGCTAGTCGGACTTGGCGTTCTGTGGTGACTTGAGACAGCTTTGCTCTTGGTCAGTTTGGAAGACGGCAGGGTCTTCTAAAGCCGGAATGCCAGCATCTAGATGGGGACACACCTCATCGCCAAAACGTGTGAGACTCAATTGTTTCCATAAAGCAAAGCGGGGCCTCCACCCAGTTCACTCTGCACGAAGTAGGGCGGTGTCTTTCCCGAAAACCTCAGGACAACCCTCTCCGTCAGGCACACGTGGCCCCGAGGGAGCAAGGCCCCTCAACGCCACCGGGTCCGTCCGTGGCGTCCTCCCTGCGTCCTCCCTGGCTTCCGTCAAGTTCAGGCCCTAGGGCTAGAAAGAGGCTGTGTGGTTTGGAAACATGACCCAGTTTCTCCCCGTTTAAAATCAGCAGAAACACACTGATGAACACACACACACAAAGCTAAGAACAGCATGACAAGTAACTGGTACAAGTTCCACAAGCACAAAAAGCCAGTCATGACTGAATAACACCAGTAGCACTAACTTCAAGAATGTCCGTACATCAGACAGAGATAAAAGGGAAAATAGGCCAGAGGCTGTGGGTAATAAATAGCAAGACTGCCCAGTAACCTGCTATATATAGTATGCGATGAAACAAAATAACTTCTCGACACTCCCAGATAGAGGGTGGCTGCGCCCACTGGTCTAGGGTGACCTGGTGAAGCAACAAGGGGGAGGAAGTGGCTCACTAGCTTCTGCAAATCAAGACAGACTGTGGGAGCCGGTGGGGCTAACGTCTTGCTCAAGTGCTTCACACGGCAACGGGGCGAGGCTCCACTCAGAGGGATTTATTCTCCACCTTGCTCAAATAATGATGAGGTGCTTCATAAAGACATATAGGACAAGTTATAAGAGAAGGCATGGATTATGTAAATGGATGGCGGGGCACAGGCGAGGAAATGGACAGGAGGGAAAAGAAGGGAGGACGAGGCAGCAGGGCACAGGGAGGAGGACCGCGAGCCGCATCCAAGGCCACCTCGAGCCGAACATCAGGCTCTGAGCCTCCACGCCCAGCGAGCAGAGGGCGACAAGCTGGGAATGCCGCGCTAATATACTCTAGCCACCCACGGGTGCAGGGCGGCGCAGCCCCTCCTGACCCAGCACCCGAGAGAATGGCCCTCATAGGGGACAGGGCCGACGTCCCCGGACAGTCTGGCTCCCACCAAAGGCCGACAGTAAACAGCAAGCCTGGGGGGGAGGAGGGTCACGCACAGCAATCCGACACGTGTCCACGCGAGGGCCAGGCCACAGCTCGGCAGCAGACACAGGGCCGGCCCCAGCCACATAGCTCTTCCGAGTACACCTGAGGGTCCTGGGCCCTAAGACCCCCCCAGGGTGCCACGGTGACAAAGGCTCTGCCTAAGCATGCTAAGCTGCTACCCACCTTCCTCACTCTCACTCTCCAGAGCGTCAGCAGAGACCTCTGGGGGGTCTTCCTCACTCTCATCCTCCAGAGTGTGTGGGAGAGGCCTCAGCCACGCGGTTTGTGTCTCACAACAGACTTGAGAGCCCACCTGTCACGAGGACAGACATTAACGACATCTGCAAAATTTAAGTATGCAATGGGCTTACTATTTCTAATTTGAAAACATAAACACGTACTTTAATACGGTCTGTTTTACTTGCAGCATGGCAACGATTGAGGAGTGTCACCCGCACAAACAAGCATTCTGTGGGGGCCCAATCGTCTTAAGAACACCCTGGGGCCTGAGACTGAGCAGTTTGAGGACTGCAGGTTGAGGTGAGCCCAGCGAGTCGACATGCTGGCTACTCAGAACATGACCGCTGACCACTTGAGGTCCTGGATCCCTTCTAGAATCCTTCCAGAACAGCCGTGGCCCACACGTGTGCAAGCACTTCTGCATAACACTGCAGGGGTTTTACAGATGGTTTAAGCCCACATGGAGTCCTCCGAGGACTCTCTCTTAAGGCCCAGACCGTGATCACACAGGCTGCTGGGCCCCCATGGCCCGTCGCAGCTACTCAGCTCTGCCGTTGCCAGGTCAAAGCAGCCAGCTGCAGACCAAGCCACACCTGAGTATGGCCGTGTTCCAAAAAAACTTTATTGACAAAAACAGGCAGCCTGTGGGCTGTGGTTTGCTGACCCCAATCCAGATTCCAGAGGAACACACAGAATACGAGGGAGACCAAAAACACCCCGGAATAGTCTTTGGGGGGCCCTTGTCATACAGGTCTTCCCCCAGGCAAGTGTTCTCACCTAGAGGTAAGAGGTAAGAAGAGGCGCCCCCTCGGGTCCGCTCCCACTGTGGGAGCGTTTCTGTCCTCTGAATAAATGCTGCTTCCTCACCAAAAGGAAAAAAAGCGGACAAGGGGGCTCTGCTGTGCAGCCTGGGCGGGTGAGGGTGAGGAAGGCAGCTACACTCGTCACCGTTCCACACCAAGGCGCATCTGTGTACCAGCGAGCACTGCTGCGGGAGACTTCATTCGGCTCCAGTGAATTTCTTTTGGCGTCTTTCAACACACGGGCCCATTCTGTGATGGGTGATTTACGAGCGCACCTGCCCACGCCGTGCTGAGTGTCCAGCAGTTTTGGACCAAAAACAACACCCACGCCCCACCCTCCCTATTCTCCCAATCTTGCCCCAAGAGAATTTTTTTTTGCTTCCCCAGATGAAAACAGACCTAAAGGGAAACATTTTTCGGACGTGCAAGAGGTGAAACAAAAAACAGCAGAAGCACTAAAAGGCATCCAAATGGACGCATTCACAAACTGTTCTGAGCAGCGCAAAAAGCGTCTCCATAGGTGTACTGCATCCGTCAGAGCGTACTTGGAAGTGACTGAAGTTTAATGTGTAAGAGCAAACACACACATTATTAGAAATAAATTCCAGTTTTCTGGGGTCTCTCCTCATATATATTCTCTATATCATTTCCGAAAATTGAGCCTTTGGAGAGAATTAAACAAAGAATTCAAGGCTATGTCCTCTGGCAAATCAAACACAGCTAGACTAGGGAAGATCCCATATTCTCAGACAGCAAGCTGTCAAAAGATAAAGCCAGCACCTTCTGACGGAGTGGACAGCTCCCAAAGGGGTGGTGAGCAAAGCCGAGAGTTGCCTCAAAAACCTCAAGCTACAGACAGAAGGGCAACCTCCAAGGTCCAAGGTCCACCCCTAGGAACGGCCTTGACATCACTGTTACGGAAATGATCATCAGTGCCAGATTTTAAAACTCTGTCATGGTTATAAAGCAAAAGTCAGTATATCCACATGAGGTGATATTATTCAGTCTTAAAAAGGAACGGAGTATTGACGCACGCCATAGCATGGGTGGCCCCGGAAACATGACGCTTAGCGAACGACGCCAGACCTAAGAGGCCACATGGTGGATGACTCCATGTACATGGAATGTCCAGAATAGGCAAGTCCCAGAGTCAGAGAGCAGAGGCGTGGTTTTGGGGCGGGGACTGGCAGTGCCTGCCCACGGGCACAGGGTTTTCTTGTGGGGGACAAGAATGTTTCGAACTAGGCAGAGGTGGTGATTGCACAACATTGGGGATGTACTCAACACCACTGAATGGTCCACTCTAGAAGTGTTCATTTTATGCCATGTGAGTTTTACCTTTTTTCAATGCGACACCCTTAAACCTCCAGGACTAACCTGCAGGGCGATACACCCTCGGGCAATGAACTCACTTACCCAGCATGACACAGCTGACACGCCCATCAAACAAGCGTGGACTTCGGAGGACATGGTGGTGTCTGTCCCTGGCAGTCCCCCCTTGGAGCCTCTCCTCGTACAGGGTCTGGCAGCTGCATTCACGAGCTCATCCTAGAGAAGGTGCTCCATGCCTCACTGCTGAGTATCACTAGAGTCACCTTCGAAGTCCTCCACTTGGGAAGCTATGCACCGATGCCAGTGCCTAGTCCACACGCCAAAGCCATTTTGGAACTCTTTTTCTGGAACGGCCATCAGAGCTGTTGTCGCATTACCCTTGATGTCCTGAATGTCATCAAAATGTCTTCCTTCAAGACTTCCTTTATCTTTGGGTGAGAAAAAAGTCTCTAGGGCCAGATCAGGTGAGGAGGGAGGCTGTTCCAATGGTTATTTGTTTACGAGCTAAAATCTCCCTCACAGACAGTGCTGTGTGTACTGGTGCATAGTCGTGATTCAAGACCATTTTGCACAAGCCTTTCTCAAGCCAAGATTTTCAGTTAAGATTTTCCTGTTTCTCTACCTATGTTTATCGGGACTGCTCTGCTTCTCACAGTCAGTCAACAATTTTGACGCACAATTTGATAGGTTTTTGCAATGCTTTCGTCAGTTCTGCTTGTTACCGGCTGTCCTGACCTCTCCATCAGTGACACTTTCTCTCTCCTCAGAAAAATGTTTGATCCATTTGTGCACTGCCATTTCCTTCCTGGCGTTATCCCCATAAACATGAACTCACACGCCCCTGATTTCAGTTCCACTCTTGCCAAGTTCAACAAGAAATTTATTTATTTATTTATATTTTTATTTAAGAAATTTTTGTTATAAAGATGTAGAGTACAATTCAGGGCTAGGTATATAAACATCAATCACGCAGGTACCCTTGTTGATGAGGCATGGCCCTCCCTCCCCTAGCAGTTTCCCTCAACTGCCAATTCCCTCCCAACAAGAAATTTAATGTCTGCTTGTTGCTCTAGTTCAAGCTCTGACATTCTGTTTTGCACACAAAAACATGCAATAATTGTCAATGCCACTCAGGGAGACACCACTACATGTTGACACAAACACAGCCGCAAGACGCTGACACGCCAAGGTTATGAACCCTTACTGAGTTGTTGTACAGTGCTCCCAATGTAAGTGCACAATGGCAAGTTTGTGAACTTAAGCATCAGACCTTGCAGGTGCCAATGCTGTGCATCAGCAGCGGGAGGAGAATGCGTCTTTAAAACTCTCGGAGGACAGACAGCGCCTCCTTGCAGTCTGAGCCCCTGCTGTGCTGGCTGCAGAGTGGGCAGGTGTGGAGACAGAAACACACAGGGCTTCCTCTCCAACCACTCAAACCGCAGCTCTGTCACAGGACACCCCTGTCATCATGGGCCTCGTGGTGGTGACAAGGTACTGGCTCTGAGGGCAACCACGCCTCTGTGTCGCTAGCCCACGAGCCAGCCTCTGGCCAGACAAGAAGCAAGGAGGCCAAGTCCCCCACAGGGACTCAAACGACAGTCATCAGCTGAGTCCAAAGAGCATGCGCACCTCCTGTCTAAGTGTGGTTAAGAGACCCAAGCCGTGAGGTGTGAACACGGGAGCTGGCACAAACCTTGGGAAAAAAGCTCACAAACTAGAAAATTACAGGGAGAGAAGGCAGCTGAGTCTGTCTAAACAGGACTGGACCCACACCAAATTAACAAGGTCCATAAGTCACAGAAGTAGGCCCGCCCTTGAAGCTGAAAACCTTCACTGAGGCTTACGCCATTCACGGACATTAAATTATTAAGGGCAGTTTTTACAGGGGCGGGGCGTTTTCTTTGTTTCACTTATTCTGTTGAAATATACAAAACTTTAAAATAGAAGTCTAGACAATCCCATGAAAACATAAAATAAAGCCAGGCACCTGTAATCCCAGAATTTTGTGAGGTGGAGGCGGGAGGACTGCCTGAGCCCAAGGGTTCGAGATCAGCAAGACCTCATCTCTACAATAAATCAAAAAATTAGCCAGGTGTGATGGTATGCGCTTGTGGTCCCAGCTACCTGGAAGGCTCAGGTAGAAGGATTGCCTAAGCCCAACAGGTCGAGGCTGTAGTAGCGATGAGTGTGCCACTGCACTCCAGTCTGGGCAACAGAGAGACCCAGACTCAAAAAAAAAAAAAAGAAAGGAAGAAAAGAAAACATCCAATAAAACCTCTAAACTTTTGGAAAACTCAAAATCTTAACTGTGACCTTGTGAAAAATCACTTACATAATCTGGACACCATGGATGCTCGTACATAAAATGGAAAAACTATTCTTAAAATGTCCTTCCAGAGGCATTTAACACAGCAAGATCTCCTGGGGCCAACCTACAAGGGGCGGGCAGGCAGCCGTCTGGATCAACTAAGCGACTCTGTCTGTGCCCACTTAGACTCCATTGCAGATGCCGGGTAGGCGCCTGGGCAGGGCGCGCAGCTCATTGTGCGGCAGCCTGGGCAGGGCGCTCAGCTCAAACGTCCGCCACCTCTCTGGCCTCCAGCCTCTCCAGCGGGCGAGGGGTCCTTGGGCACGACAGGCGTGGCTAGGCTTCCCCCAGAGAGCTCCATCCACCCTGCCCTTTCCCTGGGAGCAGGAAGGAATGAGCCCCACCTGCCCAGGTATGCATTCCAATCCCCTACACTGGCGTCAGCCCTGCCTCCCTGGTGGCACTGTCCCATCTGGCTCCATGCCTCAGGCTGTTGGAGGTGTGAGGACTTTTCAGCCCTTCTCGGCAACCTCTCGGATTCTGTGACACTTTCTGGGCGTGCTTCTCTGACCAGCCCTCCCAGTGTCCTTTCTGGCTTCTCGTCCGCCTGTGTTCTGTCCTCCCCCTGCCCCCACGTATTCCTCTTGGACTCTCACGGCCCTCCTGTTTGCATCCTTCCAACGGCCTCCCTCATGAGGCCAGCGGGATGTTTTCTGTGCTGGAGAAGACGGCCCTCGCGGTGCCACTTTTCCTGGTTCTCTGTGCTTCCTGGGGGCGACCTTCTGCCCCAACCACACATCACCCACACTGGCAGATTCCTGCACTCCGCTGGTCAAGGATGGCCGGTTTCCCCCACAGTCTCAGGTAAGTGCCTGCACTTCCAGGACCCTTCCTTGGAGCTCAGGACGCAGACGCCAAGCACCTCCACCTGCATGCCAACCACAGCGCTCTCCCCCACACCGAGCTGCCTCCCTGCAGGCCTGCCTTGCTCCCGTATTCCTCAGCTAGCCCCCACTTCGGTCATTAACCCTACCATGGGCACAGGCGCCCAGCTGGGACCTGCCGAGTATGTCTCTCTGCTCCGCAGCTCAGAACAATTCTGTGAGACCCCATCTCCCACAGACAGGGCTTGGGTTCAACCCACTTCTCTCTCCTGGACCATTCCCCAGCCTCTCCCTTGCTGCACACTCGACCCCTCGACTGCCTCCGACCCCTGACTCCAAGCGCCCCCACAAAACACAGATGAGACACACCACCTCCTGTTCGCCTCTGGGCACCATGCCCTCCTTGGTGAACGCCGGCTCTCCCAGCAGTCCTGCCAGCCTGAGCCCGCTGTCCCCGCACGGCCCACCTGCACCCACCCCGCCGTCCTCCCGCAGAGCCTGCCCCGCACCTGCTGTCCTCCCGCAGCGCCCATCCACACCCACCGCATTGTCCTCCCGCAGAGCGCACACTGCATCTGCACCTGCCGTTCACCGGCACGGCCCACCTGCCCCTGCACCCGCACCCACCGTCGTCCCACGGAGCCCATGCACCAATCCTGCAGTCCTGCAGAGCCCGCTCTGCACCTGCCATCCTCCCCAGCCCACCTGCGTCTCGGTCATCAGCAGAGCCCACCCGCACCTGCGGGCTCCCGCAGCGTCCACTGGCACCCACCCCGCTCTCCTCCCGCAGAGCACACCCTGCATCTGCACCTGCCGTTCGCCGGCACGGCCCACCCGCACCTGCACCCGCACCCACCGTCGTCCCACGGAGCCCATGCACCAATCCTGCAGTCCTGCAGAGCCCGCTCTGCACCTGCCATCCTCCCCAGCCCACCTGCGTCTCGGTCATCAGCAGAGCCCACCCGCACCTGCGGGCTCCCGCAGCGTCCACTGGCACCCACCCCGCTCTCCTCCCGCAGAGCACACCCTGCATCTGCACCTGCCGTTCGCCGGCACGGCCCACCCGCACCTGTCGTCCTCCTGCAAAGCCCACCTGCAGCCGCTGTCCTCCCCACAGCC